TTTTTTTTTTTTTTTTTTTCTTTCTAGTAAATATTATAATGTTATTCAAAACATATAAGAAAATATAATTGTAAATTTATATTTTTAATTGAATGTTAGGATCCGTTAATTTCAAATATAATCCTACTCAAAATAATTATTATTATTATAAAATAGAAATGTATATATTTGATGGTAAATAAAATAAGGAAAGTAAATAATTTAGACAAATGATTATTCTCTTCCCTATTTTATTCTTATTAAATTAATTATTATTATTAGGCATTAAATTAATTATTATTATTATTATTCTTATTATTATGGATATTTTACTTTTTTTTTCTTTTTTCTTTTTTTTTTGTGGTTGTTAATTATGATGATTTTTTCTGGACCCTTATCTTTAAACTTGAAAATAAGTTCACTTTATCATTTATGATTTTAGTTATCCAATTTTTAAATAAATAAATTTGAAAATTATTTAAAATCTTTAAATAAAAACATTAAAAAATAGTAATTGCAAAATACAATAAACATTTATCACACAAACCAACAAAAATGGGATGCTTTCAATTATTGGAGTAATTTATTCAATTTTCTAAAATATCTATTTATTTTTAAACCATATAAATAAATATTTTGATAAATCGCCTCCTTAAAAAAAATTTAAAAAATTTTGAGGATTAAATAATAATAAAAAATTAGTTATGGAATTAAATAATTAAAAAAAATTAAAATTAAAGCAAATAAAATCTTCTATGTGAAAACAAATTTGGAGCAACACGAATTTAAATTTCGAAACAATAAATAAGAAAATCCAAATAAATATGTTTTGGTGTGTGAAAAGTATATATATAACCCAACATATCCCACGTGAAGCTCGAGCGCACCTTGTTTGGAGTTTTCTTAAAATTTATATAATTTAACTTAATTTTAAAAACTAAAAAAATATATATATATTTTTTAAAAAAAAAAGTATACCCACAAAGAAAATAATTCAAATATATAAATAAATAATATATTTTAATTTTCAAAATAAATTAAATAAAATAAATATTTTGACCAATAAATAAATAAGTAAATAAATTCTGCCTTAGCCATTATATTATTTTCCAATATAAATGAAAATATCAAAATATTTAAATAATGTGACATTATTATAAAATTAATAAACCTAAAGTTTGACAAATGATTTTATGTTTTTTTATTATGTTTTTAATTTTTTTTTAAATGACATGTATCTCGTGTGAAGAATTTAAATCTATATAATAAAATAAATAATATGAATGTTTGGTAGATAATTAATATAAAAATTCATGCATGATTTGCATGATTATTATTTTTTTTTTAATTTTTACTTAAGGTAACATATTTTAGATAATATTTTTAAATAATTGTTGAAAATTATTGATAAATTTTAAAATGTTAAATTATTTTTTACTTGAACATGTGAGAGTTACCTTATAAAGAAGTATTTGAATTAATATTTCATATAATTTTTTAATTGTGACAATTTTTTTTATTCAACATGTGGAAAGGAAATATTGGAATTTACTTAATTTACTTAATTCAATTATAAGTCTTCACGTGAAAAGAATATATAAAAAATACTTGAAAATCAAAGCATATAATTTATAATCACATTTTATGAAGAAAAAAAATGCAATAAATTAAAAAGTCAAAGTCTACTTTTATGATATTTATTATTTTATTTTGCTAATTAAGTTGGTAACAAAATCACGTCCTAAGGACATAGACCCATTTTCATCCTACACGTTCATCCTAGTCTGATCGGTCTCCTTCGTTTCGATTTTCATAATTGGATTCAAGTGGTTAGGGTTTTTCGGGATTGAGGTCAAAATTTTGGACCACTTCCTAGATTTACTTTTCAAAGTTCGTCAAAGTAGGATTTATGGTGTTTATCGCTTCGTACTCGTCCTATGAGGGTGTTGTTGTTCAAAACGCATCTTCTTTATTCTACAGTTCAGTTTACATTACTCATTCTCACCGATAGTACATTCGTCTCTACAACTAGCTCTAAATTGTTGATACATCAGTCCTCTCTGGCTAGATTCATAAAATCTTAATGCATTAAAGGAAGGACTCATCGGAAATAAAGAATACTCAACTATATGCTTCGATCTCTAAGTCAACTATAGACTAGGATAAATCTAGTGAGAAGCTAGGGTTTTGGGTGAGCCTACTACTTCGATAAGAATTTCTAAAAAGTTTGTTGGTATTGCATTAGGTTGAGACCATTCACGTTAATCCAACTAAGATTTACTAGAGCAAGTTATTTCTTCAATGAGCCTATCGACACGAGATCAAATGGCTTGGTTAATTGAACTCTGGTTAGTTTCAGAGGTTGGTCTTGACCATGGTCGAGTTGACTTGGTCTATATCCCTTTGTCGAGTCTAATTTTTAGAGAACTTGGTGATCTCGACTCGTTTGAAGTTAATTTCAGCAACATAAACAAATATATATATAGAAAATAAAATAATTTAAAATATTTTATGTGGTTTAAAATGAAATATAGAAATCAAGTGTGTTTGCGCATGTGTCTCACGACATAATATAATGCCATTCAGGTTGAGGTACATTTTGTGGGCCCCACGTAAATAAATAATTGTGGGTCGAAAATGTAATTCAAGTAAAAGTAGGGTGGTTTTGTCATTTCATCAAAATCAAGGGGCATTAATTAAGATAACGTGACATGTAGGTAGAAATTTGAAAGTTAAGAAACTTATTTGGGCGGAATAGCAAAATACTCAAAGGACTAAATTGCAATAAAGGAAAACAAACGAAAATTTTCATTATGGGTGGATGGGAGTTTTATTAGACACGTCATTTTTATATTAGAAAATTAAAGCGTTATTTTTCAACGGGTTTATTATTATTATTATTGTTTGAAAACTGATTTTTTTTTTTTTAATTTTTAAACTTATATCATAACAAACTTAAAAAAAATATTAAGAAATAAATAAAAACAACGTAATTTATTTAAATATCATATAAGAAACTATATGAGAACAAAACTTAATTTATTGATACAAAAATAGCAAAAAAATAGTTGAAATAAATATTATACACTAATTAATTAACATTAATAGATCAATTTTATTTCCAAATTTGATTATAAAAAAGGACCCAATTTTTTTTTAAATAAATAAATTTTTATTTTTATTTTTGATTAATTAATAAAAATATTAAATTTTTAGTTTTTTTTTTTTTTTTTACAATATTTAACTTTTAGCTATTGGACGAGCGAACCATAAATAAAATGTTTTGCATTAAAAAAAAATAGAATTAACAAAGTTTAGTTAATTCTTAAAACAAAATTAATAAAGCTGTTAGGGAAAAGAAGGGGAAATGACGAAAATGGGCATAGGGATTGTGTTTTATAACGCGGGAGGAACTGGATGAGATGAGTTACGCTGCTTTCTTCTTCCTCTTCTTCTTTCTTCTCTGCGATCGAACAAGGAATTGAGAAATGGCGGATTCTGCGATCGAAGTTCTCACTCGAGCTCTCTCAGGTTTAACTCTTGATTTTTCTTCTTACATTACACGAATTACTCTGCCATTGATTTTCTGTCTGATTTTTTGTCTTTCCTCCATCGTTTCTGTTTCGTTCTTTTTGCTCCTCTTGATTGCAAAATTTATTGGAGTTGTTTACTCGATCTTCATTATTCTTGATTCGGAATATAGAATGAGTATGTTTTTGTGTTTTGGATCGGAAAATTACTTAATCTCTTCGATCTTCGCCAGAGATACACGATCTCCGCCGCGATTTCAGTGTCTTTGTTTCTCTGTCGCGAAAACTTCATGAACTCTTTGGTCTTTTCCGGAGAAGTACAATTTCCGGAAACGTTGATAGTTTCTCTCTGTCTATCATGCTCTATCGCAAAAACTTCATAAAGTCTTCGGACTTCGCCGGAGAAATACGGCTTCCGGCCAGGGCATCGATATCTTCCGTTTTTCTTTTCAACTGCATTATCTCTTCAATTTTAACCGTGAAGTCCAAATATCGCTGTTATATGGACGTACGGATCGTAACGCCAGAAATTTACTTGAATAATCTTTGTAGCTTCCATTTAATTTTGTACTCAGATTTTCTATTCCTAATTTTTGAATTTTTGTTACCTGTCTGCAATTTTCAGCATTAATTTTCTGTGAAAGTACCTTTATGCCCCTGTAGATGTCCAAATATATCTTTTGCACCTTTGATAAATTTTAAAATTAGCTTTTATTGTTAATTTGTAATTAATTTTTGTTAAAAATTTTATTTCTTATGTATCTTTTATCTATAAATTTTAGAAGTACTTGTATATTGTATCTCTTTTTGGTCCAAAATTGTGAATGCTGTTTTGTTAAGTCAATTTAAAATTTAACTTAAAAATAAAAATGAAGAAATGTTAAATTATTTGAAAGTAATATGATTAAAATAAAATGGTAATATGATATTTTTTTTTTCCAGTAAAACATAGGCAAAGAAAATTAGAAAAAAAAAATGAACAGAAAATTTATATAATGGATACCTATAATTAAGCAATGAACAGAGATCAATGCTATTGAGATTAAGAATTTTTTTTTATTATTTATTTTTAAGATCATTCCTAATAACAGAATTAAACCTTCCTTGATAATAAAATTGAAAGTTATTTTTTGAAGACCATACTTCGTTACATAAGGTTAGTCGTGAGTGTGATCTGTTGATTTTATTTCCTCGTTTCTTTTATTTATATTTAAGTTCATAATTTTTTTTAGCATTGAATTAATTAAAATTTTAATTTTTTTTTGGCATTGAAAATCATTATATTGTTTAAGTTATAATGTTTGTTCTATGGTAGGAGTTTATTGATATTTGTTTGTTTATATGATATCTATTGGCCCACTTTTTTTTGTGTTTAAATTTATAGATATTTGAAACTTTAGCCAATTTTTTAAAATTAAAAACAATACTTCTCAATTTTAAAAGTTCACATCGATATTTCATAGAATATGATTTTTAGAAATAGAAATTTAAAAATATAATTATAAAAGTAGAAGTGTATGATTATTATTATTATTTTAAGCGAGAAGAAAATAATTTTGAAAAATGTGAAATAAAAATAGGGCATGGAATAAATGAGAAGGCAATGATAGATACATTGGGAAATTGGGATCACGAGCACAAGAAACTCTTCAGAATAAAGAGTAGCCATATTTTCAGTGAAGATGAACGTTCCTTCGAGCGATGGCAGGAGCATGCCATGCGACTTCTGAAGCATGAATTCATGCGTTTTAAGGTATCCTTTCTGTTTTTCCATTGTGTTTCAAACTTTTGAACAGAATTTACATGAACATATATGTGAATCATACAGAATGCTGTTGTGCTATGGACAACACATCCATGGGAAAGAGATGCTCGTTTAGTGAGGGAAGCATTGAGCAAAGGGAATCACGGCCAAAACATCAACATCCTAATAGAAGTAGCTTGTACCAGAACATCTGATGAGCTCTTGGGAGCAAGAAAGGCCTACCATTCCCTATTTGATCATTCTATTGAAGAAGATGTTGCGTCCCACATCAACGCCCCCGAACGCAAGGTTTGTTCGTGTCCGTTTCGAAACAGAACCTAAATCTCAAGGACCAAACGTGTTAGTTGAACCCAAATGTATTTGTTTTGAAATGCAGCTTTTGGTTGCACTAATGAGTGCATATAGATACGAAGGACCAAAGTACAAGGAGGAGATAGCAAAGTCAGAAGCAGAAAAACTTGCTCGTGCAATTAAGGAAGCAGGCAGCAAAAGGAGTAGTCTTATAGAAGACGACGAGGTTGTGAGAATACTCTCAACAAGAAGCAAACACTTCCTCCATGTCCTCTACAATCACTACAAGAAAATCTCTGCTGGTCGATCCATTGATGAGGTACTTAACTTATCCACAGATTCTCTTAGCGCGCGCCAAATGAAAATGTAACGAATCTAGATTTTCATATATTTAGAAGTGCTACTGTCATTATAACGTAATCATTCTTGTGCTAGAAATAAGCGTTTAAACTCTAACATAAAACATAAACTTCATCTTAAAACACTTAATTCTGCACAAGAATGATTTCGTTAAGACGACGGTAGTGACTCTAGGTAAGTAGAAATCTAGAGTCGTTACAGAAAAACACATATTAGGTCCAAAGAATCTCCGGTGACGAGAACATATATTAATTTATGTTTTCCCATTTGGCAGGATCTTGACTGGGACTTGAAGCTTCAAGATGCAGTGTTATGCTTAGCCAATCCTGTCAAATACTTCACTCATGTATGTAAATTTCAAACCCATTACTTTCTAATCAATACATGATCAAAATTCTTAATATGAGTTCCTATTGTGTGCTCAGATTCTGGAAGTGTCGCTGAAAGTTGATGCGGACAAGAAGGTAAAAAAAGTACTGACTCGAATCATCGTGACAAGGGCTGATAAAGACATGAAGGAGATCAAAATTGAGTTCAAAAATAAGTTTGGAGTTTCATTGGAAGAGAAGATAGAGAGTGTGTGCAATGGAAGTTACAAGGATTTCTTGCTCACTTTGCTGGCAAGATCGGATTGATTGATTGATTGATTCCACAATCAAAATCAGGTTTAATCCAAATTTATTGTGTTTTAATCTATGTATGTATTGCTTCTTTATTGCTTATGGTTCTGTGTTCTTCTCTTCTGCTATAATTAATTCATCTCAATATTGCCACTTTTATTGTGCCTTTTTTCCTAGCTGTCTTTGAATAATTTATAATTTGGTGAAGGCACCAAGAGACCCAATAATTTGCCTTCTTACTAGTAAGAACATCTATGGTTGTTTTCTGTTAGTAACTTTATAATTTTAGAGCTTATAAAAATAAAATTAAATTAAATTAAAAGTATTGATTTTTCTTGCTCGTTGGCTGAGAAATAAATCTTAATTAATTATATTGCGGAAATGAAAAGTTTATAACAATAAAGATCTGTAATAATTATCATTATCATTACTATTATTATTATACTTTAGTTAAATTACAAGACAATTTATATTTATATTTATCTTTATTATTATTATTATTATATTTCAGTTAAATTACAAGACAATTTATCATTATTATTATTATTTAGTTAAATTACAAGACAATTTATCATTATTATTATATTTTAGTTAAATTACACTTGGAACTTTATATTTGTGTCAAATAGATTATAGATATAAATAGTTTAATAATTAAAAACAGTTTCAATTTTATGTTCATTCCAAAATAATTCCGCAAGCTTTCAATTCAATTTTTTTAAAAAAGAAAACCATATAATTAAAATATTAATGTTCTTAAATTAATTTTAGAATTTTATTAGACATATTTTAAAATATCAATAACTAATTAAGAGAAAAAGAAAGTAACAATTTAATTCAAAAAGAAATTACGAAAACCTTATGAATAGAAGAGAATTTTGTGAGGGAGGTTCAAAAGAAAGGGAAGCACATTGGATGTAACACAACGGAGCTAAAAGTCTTGATATTAATACAAAACCAGAGAGGTGGTAGCGGTTCAGACGCCAAGCATATTATTACATAACAAACAACACACATAAACACTAACAGACAGCCGATTATTATAGATACTCATAATAGGATGATGATCATAAATTCTTACTGCTAACAACCAAAGCAGAGTTTAGAATCGGCTTTGTTTAGTTACCAAGAAGAGTATGGATGAAACGCTTATAGTCACCAGAGGTCTCCTTGGACACAGCATCGTCAAGGGTAACGCTGTTCCTCTTGTGATAAGCCTCCTTTATCTGCATCAAATCTTTCTCTGCCCTCGACACCACCACTCGTGTCAGCGCATCCTCATCGCTCTTCCCCACCCTCTTGATTGCATTTCTCACCACCTGAAAGAAAAAATGAGATGGGAGTATCAACAATTTGAAGCTCTTTTCAACTCTAAGAATCAGTGAAGATCTAAACGCTTAATTTTTAACATGATTTGAGTTTATTCACCTTCTCATAGTACTTGATTGGGTCATCGATGCATCGGATCACAGTTCGTAGCGCTTCTGTGAACTCTTTGCCTGCAGTATCAGTTCCCACTTGCTATACAACAAAGTAAAATTTCAGAGTGGATGCCTCAACCCACTACTAGTAGATATTGTGTTTTTTGGACTTTTCATTTCAGGCTTCCCCTCAAGATTTTTATAACGCATCTACTAGGAAGAGTTTTCCACACCCTTAAGGGTATTTCGTTCTCCTCCCCAACTGATGTGGGATCGTCTAATAGACGATTCAAACTCCACTATCCCTCCATGCATATATAACAATATAGCGTTGTCATTTTGAAAAATCATCCATTATTTCAAAACAAGAAATAACAGAAACAGAGTAGGAACAAAAATGATGTCAATTAGTTAGTTCTGTACCTTGGAAATGGTAACACCATAGGCATCTTTGTAGTGATTGAAAGTAGCAACCAGCTGTGCCCTGCTCCTTGTGGTTAAGATCCTTATAACATCTTCATGATAGTAGGTCTTGTCCCTGACTGCGCGCTCAAGTCTCTCCGCTTCAGATTTCGCCAGGCTTAGATCTACTTCAGGTCCACTGTAACGATATGTACTCACTAATCCCACCAACAACTGCAACACTTATATTTCGTCAGCATTCCACAGCTTCTCAACAGATGATCATACCAGATTATAATATACACAATTGATTCTCGGAAGATAATAAAATGTGTATATATTTTTTAATTAAACACAAGTACTTATTCATAATTAAAGAATCTGAAATCAATTAAGATTGCAATTATCTGATGAACATTTTCTACTTTCTAGAATGTTTTAAAACAAATTTTCAAATCCCTTCTACTCCTGAAATACTAATTCTTTATTCTGTTACCTAATTTAGAAGATGTTTATGAGTATCTGATTAAATCGTTTCAAATGTAATACACAATTCTAAAAAAAGAGGCGGGGGTTGAGTTATGGACCATGCGCAGATCGTCATTAGTGCTGGCTGCAACATCTTCCTCCAGGGAACGCTTGTAGCGGTGCTGGTAAGCCCTCCTGATCCCCAACAACTCTTCAGGTGAGTAGATGCAAGAAAGTTCAACAAGCACCGCGAAATCCTCCTTTGGCTTCCTTATGGCTATGTGAGCCAACACGGCATCTCTATCCTCTGGTTCCAGCATCCATCGGTACACCGCTCTCTGTTTCAGCCACGAAACAGTTTAACTCTAGCTACCTTACCCATCAAAACAATAAGAATCTGACCAAATCGATCATCGAAACAATTTTTTTGGCAAACAAAAACCTAGTGTTGATCTTTTATTTTTTTCAGTGAATAAACTGTGGCGGAGAACCAAATAGGTGTTGTAAGCATCGATCTGACACAATCGGCATCATCACATCGATTGTGCCGCTAATCGACGATGAGAACACATTACACATGTATGGTAAAGATTACAAAGACGATCGATGACGAAGAGAACATGAACACAACAGTAAAAGGAAAATAAAACGACGATCGATTTTCGAAAAAAGACGAAGAACGAGCAGGACTGAACTGTAAGAGCAGATGTACACAATAGTAGAAGGTATACAATAACGATGATCGCTTTTTGAAAAAAGACAAAGAACAATGAGCAGGACTGAACTGTAAAAGCTACAGTAGTAAGCGTAACTGATGAAGTCGATGAACACGAGCATGATCACAATGTTTAAGAAAGGAAAAAAAAAAAAAAAAAAGAACAGAAACAAAACCTCGAAATGGCCAGAGATCTCGGATTCAAGGCGCTTGATAAGATCCTCTTGAAAAAGCTGTTCATAAGCAATCCTGATGTGTTTCCTCTGAATCCAGTTTCTATGGGCCAGGATCGAGATTATAGCCTTCTCATCGGCTCCCCAGCCTATGCAAGAGAAAAAAAAACAGATTCAGAACCATAACACATCAAAGAATCGTAATCAAAGAAACAGAATGAATCAAATACAGATTCAGCAAACTAATCAATCAATCTCAACCAAACCTAACCGAGTAAATCGAATCGAATCGATACCTTTGAAAGCGGTTTTGAGAGCTTCAGCATCGACATTGGGAGAAGGAACATCGTGAGGAACAGTCAAGGTAGCCATAGCCTCAAAATCTTCTCAGAGTTGGATTCTCTCAACTTCCTTACCACTTCGCAAGCACAAATAACGTTCTCCCTTGTTTTATACAAATATCGGAAACCCGACGCCGTTTAGCCCTACCCAGAATTTTTTACCTTTTTTTTTAAAAAAAAATATAAAATAAAGAATTATAAATTCATGAACACGTGGAAAATAGTGAGTGGTTGAGTTTAGGCTTTTACCCTCGTGGTTTGGGTTCGGTCTTCGGACCTCACCGGTCCGTGAACTACAACAAAATTACTGCATGCCACGTGGCAGCCGCTGCTTTGTTTGTTTTCTTAAATTAAGGGAATTAGTTGGGTAATCGTAAAAAATAGCCTCCTAAGCTTTTCATTTTTCTAAAAAAAATATCTTTTATTTAGACCCGGAGATGAAATTACAATTTTGCCCTTTTTATTCAAAATTGATAGCGGTCCACATCCAAATAACAAAAAAAAAAAAATTGAAAATTTAAAAATTTATTCCAAATAGATACAAAATTCATAAACCAAATAGATACATACTTAAAAGTTTGAGACCAACCTTATAATTTTACCTTAAACATTCTTAAATAACAAATCTATTTTAGTTGGAATGTACAGGGGTTTTTCCAAGCACATCATGCCGCCAGATGCACGGCATCCGAGAGTGCAAGCAACCGACACACATTTCGCAACAACCCATTCAAAAGGTTTGAAGCGATATGCAAAGCGGGCTTCCAAGTTCGTCATCCACCCAACAAGGGTGCTGACAGAAAGGGACTAACAAGACTCGATGCCTACCGGTGCACGAGGTAATCTGTGCAAGAACCAATGGACTACGGTCACTCAAAATACTTTGGGACACACCAATGAGGAGGAGATGTCGCCTACAGTTTGATGCCCGAGCATCAAGCCTACAGACCCAAGCAACCAAATCGTCACTCATGCGCCGTACCTAAAACGATCTATCGCTATCAGCCTCAGTTCTAAATGTGTCTACTAGGAAGAAGTTTCCACACTTTTATAAGTAAGACTTTGTTCTCCTCTACAATTGATGTGGGATCTTACAATCCACCCCCTTAGGGGCCAACGTCGACTTTGATACCATTTATCATAACTCAAGCCCTCTGTTACGTATCGTTGTCAGCCTCATGATTTTAAAATGTGTCTACTTGGGAGAGATTTTTACATCTTTATAAGGAATGATTCGTTTTTCTCTCCAACCGATGTGGGATCTCACACTAAATCTCTTGTTCTTTTGTAATGTTAGCTTGGTAGGTACGGAGAAGCTTCCGGCTTTTTTTTTTTCTTAATTTTGAATTAAGAATTACGATATTATTTTAATTTAAAAATGAGATATGGTTATCTAATTTTGAATTGGGACAGCGAATCTTGGTGCCTTTTTTGGTATTTGGATGTTGGGAAAACGTGACTTCTTCTTTGATATTCACGCCATACGCACACGCTTTCTCTCTCTTTGTACTTTTATAATTTTCCTAATTTTAATTAAAAAACTTATTTTTAAACTTTCTATTTATCATAAAAAAAATATATCATTTAAATTATTTTTTTTTTAAATTACAATTTTTTTTAAGTTTAAAGTGTTTGTTTTAAGATTTTTTTTTAAAAAAAAAACCAAGGGTAATTAATAAACCTTTTAAAAAAAAAATTAAAAGACAGTTTTTAATCACTTTTTAAGTTATTTTGTTATTTTGTATTAATATTTTTTTAGATAATTATATTTTTGAGATAAAATATAAAATATAATTTTCTTTTATAATTTAATGTTTAATAAATTATTTTTATTTATTTAAAAATATTTTTCAAATTTAGCATTTAACAAAAAATACCGTGGAAGAAATTAATTTTAGATACTTAAATTGTTTTGGAAAAAAAAGATATATTTAATAGTTATTTAATAGTTATTTATTCCAACTACATACTAAATTAAAATTTTAAAATAAATAATTAATTATATATAAATTTAAAATTAAAAGCTTAGAAATTCATTAGATATTTTAAAAAAAAAAATTAGATGTTTTAGGTATATTTAATTAGTTGCCAATTTTGATTTGAATAACCTAATTGGGTTAGGTGAGCTGGCATTCGGCAGCTTTTGAAAAAGCTATATTCCCTTCTTCAACTTATTTTTTTTTTCTTTTTTATTTTAATTTATGTATGAATATAGTCCAAAACTTTTATAGTAACAAGAAAACATAATTATTCTTTTTTATGTATTTAATTATTAAGTATTATTTTTTTTAATATTTAATGATTTAGTATTTATTAATTATAAATATATTCCACACTAAATTATAATAAAATTAATTATTAAAATTGTTACAAACCTAAATTATAAGAAAATTAGAAGTATTTATACTAAAATTAACTTATGACATAAACCGTAATAGAACAAAAATATTCTGTTTGACCCTAAAGAATGTTTGATTAATCCATCCCACCTAATCAAATAAATTACAAGGATATGAAAATAGTAATAAATAGAAATAACAATAATAAATGAAACGATACATATGGTAATAAGACAAATATTAGATATTTGCTTATAATAAAATATCAAATATAATATCTATGATAAACTATAATTTATTACTAAATATTCTTTTAACACCCCACCGCAAGCCAAACGTCGGATTTAAACGAACGTGAAGCTTGAATCTGAAAAATTCAAAGAGGTTGAGAAACATTTTCTTGCCCATTGAAAATTGCAAAGGGATCGCCACTCAGTGGTGATGCTGCCTTGACTTCGGCGATAATATGTCTAACCCATTAAGAGGGATTATCGCTTAGCGACGATAGTGCCTTGGCTCTCGTGAGAATATGTCTAACCCCAAGAAGTAGAAGGGGAAACTAGAGCAAGGGACAAGTAGAAGGGGAAACCTAGAGCAAGGGACAAAGACAATGTTGAAGCCGGAAGAGTCGCCACATTGAGCAAATGAGGCAATTTTGGCAAGAAGGGTGGCGGCAACTTGGTTGGCGAATAAGCTAGTGCGGCACCCAAATTCCGAAGGTAAATCTCTGCAAAAGGTTGATGGGCTTGTCGAGATTTCGTATATTTATGAAGAGAACACTAATGAGTGATTGAGAAGAAAATGAGAGAGACTATATTGGGCGGGGAAAACAGATTGGGTTGGAAAATGTGAGGTTGTATGTAAAGAGTAGGAAGAAAGGTGATTTGGAGGTCAATAGGGGGAGTCGAAGAATAATCAATCGACTACGCCTGCGACAACCATGAAGACTGTCCCTGCAGCGTCAAAGCCAGCAAGAGGGCCAACAGGGGTGGTGGAGAAGAAGAGTAGAGGATTTAAAAGCCATTGAAAAGAAAGGATTAGGTTGTTAAACGGAGAGGGCTGTGATACCTTAAGAATTAAGAATGTTTGATTAATAGACCAGAGTTATGGTCTCAAAAATATTATTTTTCAATTATAATTGATACGAAAGTAAGTTACTTTATTGCCCTCCTCTTTTTAAAACATTTGATCGTGATCATTGATGGTGACAGAAAACTTTGGAGGGCACTTTTGAACAACGAAATAATTTCTTGGATCAACCAATGCATGCATGGGATAAATAAATAAAGCCCCTAAGAAGAATTTGATTTCAATTTTGCTTTTATTTCTAATCTTTTAATTGAGTTTTTAAATGAGAATCATCTATAACTTTTAAGATTTTAAGTTTACTATTATCGATCAAATACATATATCTCATAGAGTCGGGGTTGAACAAAAACACAATGTAATTAACGTAAATACGCATTTGTTACAAAACCAAACATTCCTCGACAAAAACAAGTCAGTCTCAGAGCACGAACCGAGCTGCTTATTATACGTTACAAGCCGATACACAACACTCATAGGAAACAAAAATATTATTGGATTCAAGAAGCAGTGATTTTAATCATCAGCTTGGTTACCCAAAAGAGCAAGGATGAAGTGCTTGTAGTCACCAGAGGTTTCCTTGGACACAGCATCATCAAGGGTAACACTGTTTCTCTTGTGATAAGCCTCCTTTATCTGCCTCAGGTCTTTCTCCGCCCTCGTCACCACCACTCGAGTCAAGTCATCCTCGCCGCTCTTCCCAACCTTCTTGATTGCATTTCGCACCACCTGGAAGATGATACCGATGGATTATTTGATGAAAAAAATTGTAACAGCCGCTAGCAAATATAGAGGTCGTTCTCCTCCCCATCTCGTCACTCTTCCCCTTGAGTTCTTAATCATTGCAAGCATCGGAATAGAAAAATTCACTGAAAAAAAACATATGAACATAATCTAGTTTGGTAGAGTGAGTTCATTACCTTCTCATAGTATTTGATAGGGTTATTGATGCATCGAATCACAGTTTTTAGATCATCAGTGAACGCATTGGCTGCACCCAATTGCTGCAACAAAAAACAGATACCAACTTAAACTACAACATGATTCAGCTTTGAGGTTGTTTTGTTTCGAAGATCTCGTCTTCAATTAGCAGCAATATTAAACTATGAATCAAATTTGTTTTTTGTGATGAACATTAATATCAATGTAATCTAGGATGAGTACTCTTAGCTTTGTACCTTGGAGAGGGTAATGCCATTGGCATCTTTGTAGCAATTGAGAACTCCAATCAGCTGTGCCCTACTCCTTGTGGTTAGGATCCTTATGACATCTTCATGATGGAAATTCTTATCTTTGACTGCACGTTCAAGTATCTCAGCTTCTGATTTGGCTAGTTTTGAATCTATCTCATCTCCATTGTAACGATATGAACTCACTAATCCCACCAACAGCTGCATTGATTAATCATAAACCCACAATCAACAATCACCAAAACTATTATCTTGAATCTTGATTCTTCATGTCATTCTCTTGAATATCATTAGAATCTCTATGTTCAAGTGGCATCAGTTAGACTCCTCCACTTTCAAAATCTTCCAATGCATCGATCTCTTTCTGGGTTTCCCCTAATTTAGAATTTGTTCTTGTTCCAAGTAGCCTATTCTCGGAATAACTATTAAGGATTTGAATTCCCAAAAGACAAAATTGAAAAGTGTGTAAAATGGCGATGGTGGATTCTTGTTCTTAGTTCAGAGAGATCCAAATACAGACGATCATTAGAACCAAACATGAAACCAATGACAATGGAAAATCGAGTTGATAAAATGGAATAGGGATAAGTTATGGACCTTGCGAAATTCGTCGTGAGTGTTGGCGGCAACATCTTCCTCCAATGAACGCTTGTAACGGTGTTGATACGCCCTTCTAACAGCCAAGAACTCTTCAGGAGAGTAAATGCAAGAAAATTCAACAAGCACTGCGAAATCCTCATTTGGCCTCCTTACGGCTACGTGCGCCAACACAGCGTCCCTGTCCTCTGGATCTAGAACCCATCGGTACACAGCTCTCTGTTTCCACAACAAACAATCGAACTCCGAATCAGCAAAAATCGTGTAAACAAGAAAATCGGTCGGTCTTCTAAGAAAATGGGAAGAAAATCCAATGGTTTCGATGATCGCGAACAAGAGAGCAGTATCCGATACTGATCATGATGATTATGAGGGAGATGACGACGAATACGAAGAACATAAAAGAAATGGAGTAAAAATACGGTGAAGAAGAAGAACCTCGAGGTGGCCAGAGAGCTCAGATTCAAAGCGTTTAATAAGATCCTCTTCAAAAAGCTGTTCGTAAGCAATCCTGATTTGCCTCCTCTGACCTGCATTTCTATAGCCAAGCACCGCAACGATAGCCTTCTCATCAGTCCCCCACCCTACAGATAGAACGAACAACAGATTCAGAAAGACAATCAGAATCATCACATAATCACAAGCCTAAACACATCCCGATCATCCTAAAACGAACCGATCAGAGCAAGTAAAAAGGAAAAGAACATAAAATGTATACTGATCGATGGATAACCTTTGAGAGCGGCTTTAATGGCTTCTGCATCAACATTCGGGGAAGGAACATCGTCAGGAACACGAAGAGTGGCCATAACCTCAAGCTTCAAACCTCGAATCGATTTCTCACTAGCTATATGCAGATTATGCTACAGAATGCTCTCCTTCTGTCTCTTCCTCCTCCTTTATATTCTAAAACTTGCACTCCCGGGGGAATTCACCCGCTCTCTTCTTCAAATTGACGCTTCTCAGGAATCAACGTGGCAGACAACTATGGCTGCCATTGATTTAGGATCAACCTGCTCGCACTTTTTATCTTTTATTTTCTAAAAAATTAATCTCTTCTTATTACCCAATTTTTAAAATATCTATTCTCTAAACCGGGTCCACGGGTCCACGGGTCCACGGGTCCACGGGTTATATTCTCTATTGCGGGTCCACCGGTTATATTCTCTCAACCCGACACTACCACGCTAGAAACCCTAAAACCCTAAACCATAAACGCCTCATTTTCCCCATTCCCTTCCATTTCCCTCTGTACGCACCAGTTCTTTCTCTTGGCCGGAAAAGCTATGACGCCGTTTGGTAATAATCACTCCTGTGCATCCAAGTGTTCCTTGGCTCGTTAGTCCTCTCTTCGCCGTGTTAATCCTCTGCGTCTTTGCTCGTCTTTCGTTTGCTAGATCGAAGGTCTCTGTTTTACCGGCGTTTATGTCCGACGAGACAGAACTGTTCGTCTTCCATCCTTTTCCCTCTTCATTTCGCGGTTCATGTCCTTAGAGGTGAGGTCTGAGGGTTTGCTGAAGTGTAGAACTTCAGGTATGGTCGTGGATTCGTTGGAGGTGCGGGTTCTCTCTCTCTCTCTCTCTCGGTTTGTCTGCTCTTTTCTTCCTCTGTGCAGGTGTTCCAGACATTGGCTGAAGGCCGGAGGATGGAGGGAACGTTTGGGGACGATCCGCCGAGGTTGTGGACGTGAGATCCCTCGCCGGCTACATCGGTAATTTTGTTTATTTTTATTTATTTTATTCATTTATTCTCACTGGAAATGGAAATTTGGGCGCTCAGTAGATGTTTACTCTCAGACATCTCCACACTCACCAAGTAATGGAAATTGGGCGAGTAGGGTTGTTCAATGAAACATTTTGGAAACACGAATGGGATAAGCACGGTAAATGTTCATTTCTTACCCAATATCAATATTTTGAAAGTATCTCTCAATATTCGATTGAACCCTACCTTCAATATATTAGCCATCTTGAAGGCTGCCAAAATCTTAAACCGATTGTCAACACATCTAAAGATCACGATGTTGTTAAAAATGCTATTGAGATTGCAATAGGAAAGACACCTTCCCTCCACTGCAACAAGGATAAATCTGGCCATAACCAATTATTCGAAATTATTTTATGTTTTGATATGGATGCTGTGACTTTAATAGATTGCAACCCAGAGCTTAGAAAGAGTTGCTTAAGTTCTTTGAACGTTCATGATGAATTGTAAAAAATCAATTGTCTTTCATTGGTGTCCATTAAAAGTTCATCCGAACTCATTGCCAACAATGGCCTCTCAATTCCAAATGTAGGACCAATTGTGTCAATAGCTTTGACCATAAAACAACACCATGTTCATCCTTCTTCCTCTCCCAAATATATGTCTATTATTGGATGGTAAAATATACGAAATATAACCATGTTTCCATTCAAAATCCCAATAGTTATATGCACATTATCCTCATACGATAAACTGTTCGGTACTAAAATTTTGTCAAAAACTTCTTCACTCATGTCGAACGTTTGTATCATATTTCTTGACCACCAATAATATTTTCCTTCATGATACATGTCAAAAGAACACATCGACATTAAATGGTCACATATGGGGATTTAATTTCCCTCCATCTATCTTTTCTCAAATCATAAATTTCCACTCTAGTTGGACCATTTGAATCGTATATGTGCACAAATTCTACAACCCTAACCACTTTGAAATCTCTAGATTTGGAATCGTTTTCGAACCCAACTGTCTTTGAGTTCCAAGAATGAAGTTCATGATCAGGTCCAGTGTAGTGAAGAATCGACGAAGGGAGTTTACGAAACTCTCTAGTCGTCGTATTCAAGAGGAAAACATCCTTATCATGCGATAGACAAACTAAGCCATGAGAATGGCCACAAATCTTAGAAAACGGATCGATCGAGGTCATGGGAAAACTTGAGGATGGAGTGTATATGTTTACATGATCTACCATCGGGAATGATATGCTTGAGAAGAATAGACTTATGTTGAAGAGAACAATTTGTAGGATCGTTAATCAGAGCATACTAGAATTTGCAAATTGACTTGAATGAGGATAAAGTCTTTAGCGGAAGCCTCGATAGGATGACGATCAACAATATTGTAGGGAGACTTTTTAGAGTTGGCATGAAAGACCTTGGAAAGAGGTTCCAAATAATGTGTATTTTTTGGAATGAACTAAGACGAGGATGAAGAAAATAGTGAAACGTAATGTTTATATATAAATTTATTAATCATATTGGTCACCAAAATAATTTCTCAAAATTACAAATGCAAATCAAATCTATTTTTAATGTCGGATTGAAATCTTAATTAAATAAGATTTATTAAATTGTAATTTATTATTTATATTCAAAATTAAAATCTTCTAAATTAATTATGGTAGGCATACCTCCCTGACATTAAAAAATGACAAAGGTAGCCTCGGGCAATAGTTGGTATAATGTTTGAGGACGCCCACTTACCTTTTCCACTCTAATACGATACCGTTGATCTAGGCATGAGATTTGTTAGGAATGTGTGACTCGGTGGTTTGATGGATTACCTTTGTAACACCTAAGTCCCGATGCGGAACTTAAAACCTAATTTTTACCCTTTTAAGGCGAACTTTCCGATTTTATTGAGAGTCTTAGAGAGTAAATTTTGAGATAAGGTAGAAGAGAAAAATATTTAGATATATCACACGAACTCAGGAAAAATATAAAAGAAAACTGGTGAAAAATTAGAAAAATGGTTAAAGTCAACCCGGAGGGATAATTTGGTCATTCTACCCTCCTTTCTCATTAAGCACGTGAAATAGAGGTTAGTAAAATATAAATAAAATAAAAAATGAAAGAGAGGAAAAGAAATGAAAAAGAAAATAGAGAGAGAAAAAAGGTTCTAGAGAGAGAAGTAACGGCACACTTTGGATCTAGCGAGGAAGTTTCTTGAGTGATAGATCGATAATTTTTGAGGTGTGTAACTGGATTAACACAGGTTTCTTGAACAAATCCTAGTAAAAAATCGAAGTTTAATCGGAGTTCGGGTGAACAGATCAAGAACAGAAAATATGAGTTCTTCTACATATTTGGAGGGAATCATGCAAATTGAACCCTGATGAATTGCCTCGACCTGACTGGTGACCTGGTGCCTCAACTGCGCAGGATTTCGCGCATGAATATGCACTCATGAAACTGCGCATATAAACCCCTTGAGCGCGTGAGTTACCTTTTTTCCTCTGTTCGGCCTCTGTTTGCTTGTTTTTCGCCCCGATTTCAATACTGACCTTACTTTGATGTGAATTGGAACCCACAAAGGAAAATTCAGAATTTTTGGAACCCTCTTTGACAAGAAATTCGAGCTTGAGAAGGCACGTGTCAACCATGTAAGTAACCATTTGGATTCCCACAAGTGGGAACCTCTTGGAATAAGCATGCATGCTATCGAATTGATAATCCTAACTTGTCGGACCTAGTATATTTGTATATAAGTTATGAAAAAGAATTAAATAAGAAAATTAATGGTACCTAGAATCGATTGACTAGGAATTCATTCAAGCATGTGACTATGATATTGTACACATGTAACAGGAAGAGAAATTTGTGAAATCTGGGTTCCGGGTGAAGAAGGACGTTATCTTCCCGTTGAGCATGTTTGTTATTGTAAGCATGACTATGATATTGTAAGCATGTTTGTATGAACTGTTGCATGTTAACTCTAGTGCATGATTGATTGTATCGTCTTTCATGTTGATAATAAGAAGAAACTACGAGCTTAGATTAGGGCGCTTGAGACTGAGTAGGCTAGACAAAAATCTAGAATGGGATACCTCTGGAATACCGTGCATTTAGGCCCACGAAAGGATGACCAGCAGACCCAAACCCCAGTATTCCAAACCACGACAGGTTTGAGAGACCTTGCGCGAGAATCAAAGTTTAAGCCACAAGATTTGCCCTAGAAAGACCTAGTAGGACACCATGGTAACTGTAGATAACCGAGGTAGCCTGCCGGACTTGAGCAATGTGGATAGTGTTACCATAACCTTCACTTCTCTCCCTGCTCCAATACCGTACCGTCGAGATTAAACTTCGGTACTGAGATTGTTAAGCTAGGCAGAGCCATACAGGGTAGTGTGACTTGTTTCCCCGACTTAGTGGTGATAGCTAAGAGGTCTTTTGAAAAGAACCTCTTAGCCATAGAAACCTGTCTTTGAGCGGGGGAGCGTGGAACCACGTAGGATGACTTAGTGACTGGCACATAGGGGATCGCAACCCACCGATTTTGGTGGAAGTATGGTCCCATGGAAGGGTTGTTAGCTAACCTCCACGGATGATGTTCAGAGAGCGATAATGATTTAGATCCAGCCATACTATCCCATCAGTTTTACTTGTGAGGTTGTGCCTTATCTCAGAACATTGATCATCCACTGCATAAGATGGGCAAGTATCCTGAGTTGTACAAAAGAGGCTTTCAGCTTAGTTCACACTCCTTAGAACTCCGTGACAAGACCGTGGATACCTACTCATATAAGAATGCGAAAAGAGCCTACAAGTAGGTTGCTTACGGAGTATTTTTATACTCATCCCTTTCTACTCTTCTTTTTAAGGTGAGTGATGCCACGAATCGAGTCGGGAGCGCGTTCAGAAGTCTTAAAGCTACAGAAGAGTGTCCCGAGGCGTCTAGGAGTATGTACATATTCATGCATATATATGCCATACGTTTTTGTACCCTATATACATTCTTTTTCATGAAATACATATACTACTTGAATAATTTGTTTTGATTTTAATTCTTGTTTGTAATTGCTAAATTTTTTTTTTTCTGTAATTTCTTCTCGTTTTGTTTCCCTATTTTGTTTCCCTCTCCAACAAACGGTTTCAAAAGTACATGATTTGATTCTTACCATATAATAAAAGTACAAATTTCAAAACGATCTCCAAAACACGTAACAAGATTACTTGTCGTCCAACATTTTCTAACCTATGACAAGGGCAGGTGTCGATCATAGGTATTAAGGCCCTTAATCCTTTATAAAGATGATTGGTACTCTACCACTTATTGTATACTTATTACAACCTAAAAAATACTACGATAAAACCAACTCGTAAAATCAACAAACGATCAAGCCAAAAACTCCACAAAATAACACTAACCCGAGCTTTAAAAAGACCCCATTTCTCAAAATTAAAGGCCACCGAACTCATGAATCGACGTTTGATTCGAGCTGTTCAAATTCTTTCAAAAGAAAAAGGTGGGAGTTGGAAATCAAAACCAAACAATAATGACTCATAAACAAAAAAGGAGGCTAAGACTGCTAACTAAACTCAACATTAACTCAGACTTCCAATGCCTCACTATATATATAATGAAACTCATCACAAAGCCTTCTCATTCCAAACCAAATTTCAGTCTCTCTCTCTTTTGAAATGAAGGCTTCTTTCATTCTTCTTGCCATTCTCCTCTCCTTCCTTTTGCTTCTCAACTTCTGCCATGCAGCAGCAGAGGAAAATGTGGCTGAACTCCAGCTTGGCCAAGGTATTTCTCTTACTTATTTGCCCTTTTCGTCATTTTTACGTTAACGGTTCGAGCCTCGTGCTAACATCTAACCCAACCGAAGACAAACATCGAGAATCTATTGAAAAGATCTTAAAGACATGAACAATGAAACCCCTAAAGCCACGTGACGTTCCAACCCAGTTCCAATAATGCAGTTTTCGGACGGAGAGTCGTTGCATATTAGAATTCATTAAAGCACGATTCGCATCATTATGTTCGATAAAAGGAACGAGGGAAGCTATGCTTAAAAGACTAAAAACCGTTACTCGTTGCAGGTGGCGGTGGTGGTGGCAGTGGCGGAGCAACCAAAAATGAAGAAGAAGATGAAGAAGAGAAGTTCAAGTTTCTTCATCACCACAAGCCATTCTTCAAGAAGCCATTTAAGCCAATTCCATTGAAGCATCCCATTCTGAAGAAGCCAATCCATGTTCATCCAATTCTCAAGAAGCCATTTAACCCACCAGTCTTCCACAGCCATCCTTGAAGAATTCCCGCCATATGATGAAGAATGAGCTGAATGAAGCTGCTACCTTATTATAATGAATCAGAAAAAGTTATGTTAAGAATGATATCTACGAATGAAATAAAGCATTGACGTTTGTGTTAAAATATACCCGTAATCTTTTAAAAAGTTGCAAAAATTACCCTAGGAGTAGACAAAAATGATGCTAGTATGTTGAACAAGAAGCGACATGTCTGAATATCGTTCTTCTAGACTTAATCGAATCAAATGTTTTAGTCAATATCATGTCAATTCTTTGTATAACGTTTTAATAAATTTCTACTTCTAAGGATAGTTTTGAAAGATCGAAGGATAGAGAGTAATTGCAATTTTAAAAGAACAAGGGGCACATTTGTAATAAAAGGACAAACATAAAGTAGCTTTTGAGCCTCGAACATTTATAAAACCGAGTGTTTTACAATTTTGATGATATTGATATTTAGTCCTAGCATGATGATGGCGGCTACACCCAAATTAAGAAGTGAGGAGAAAACGAATACCATCGTGAATATATTGACTTCTTCTTATGTATGGCTATGACAATACAAACGAACGCCTCTTAACTTCTTTAACATAAAGCAACTTTTGAGCCTCGAACATTTATAAAACCGAGCGTTTTACAAGTTCGATGATATTGATATTTAGTCCTAGCATGATGATGATAGCTACACCCAAATTAAGAAGTGATGAGAAAACGAAAACCTTCGTGAATGTATCGACTTCTTATTATGTATGGCTATGACAATAGAACGAACGCCTCTCGACTTCTTTAAATACTTGAAAAGTTATTCCAAACATCTCGATTGTTCCATCAATTTCATTGTCCCATGGTAATGAAAAAAAGAAGAGATTAGCGAATAATAAATGAGAGGCGGAAATTAGATTAAATGCTAATGAATTATAAGCAGAAAAATCTGGTGGGATTAGCAACCTCTTAAACACCCATTAATTTGAAGCCATCCAAAAAGCTAAAGCCCCATGACTTTAACCAGCACTCACACAGCCTCAAAGTAGCTGCCAAGCTACACCACAATGGCTACCCTACTTTTCAAGCGCTCATATTACTTCTTGAGCATGTGAAAACTCAATAATTGAAACTCGGAGTTAGAATAGAGAGAGGTTTTTACACCTTTATATAAAAAAAAGTAGTTAATCATTTATCAGAGTCAGATTTCGATTCTAGGACCTTTGGATTATGAGCCCACCACGCTTCTGCTACACCACTCTGATTGTTTATTTATTAGACTACCATGCAACCATCCCAGTCAGGGCAAGCCTTGCCGAGAACGATCATCTACCGCCGTAGATCCAGAGGATCGTGATTTGTCAAATCACGCTCTAACTATAGGGCAATGATTCATCCACAAGATTATGGTTCTTGTCTCCTTGATAACTCAAGGACATAATTGTACAACCTAAGTTTTAAATTTCTTGGTGATAGGATGTGTTTGATTTTCTTCCAACATTGAGACTCAAGTCACATGCGTGGAATTGTTGAGGAGTTACAAAAGTTTAAGTTCGGGAGCATTTGATAGCACAAAAATGTGCTATCATTAGGACTTGATGATTACTAGTTTTGTGTATGCTTTTACAAATTATAATTGGTTGTTTTGTCGATGATGATTATTTGGAGCAAACCCAGGTTTTTGGAAGAATTATGATGAAATTGAGCTACTTGGGTGTAAATAGAAGAACTAGAGAATGAAGGATTCAAGTCGTAAACTCCAAGCGTATAGCTACTCAATATCTTTGAGGTTGCAAAAAAAAAAAAAAAATTAATTGCAGTCACGAGGCTGCCGTAAATTCTATAAATTTCTCTCTTTTGCAATCATTTTTAGGAGATTCGAATTCGATAGTTGGAGGATGACTTCTAACGAGAGAGATTTTAAGGCTCAAGATCGTGAGATCCCACATCGATTGGGGAGGAGAACGAAACATTCTTTATAAGGGTGTGGAAGCCTCTTCCTAGCAGACACGTTTTAAAAATCTTGAGGGGAAGCGCAAGAAGGAAAGTCCAAAGAGAATAATATCTACTAGCGGTAGAGTTGGTTGGATCATATCACTCCCATTTTACTCATTCAATGCTCAAACTCAGCCTGAAGTTTATATAACAAAAAGTAGCCAAAAAAAGTACTACTAAACGGTGGTCAGAGCCAAATTCAGATCAGTTTTTCCACAAAACTTATTCTAAACTACATTCTACAAAGAAGTCTATCAAAATTGGAAAATCTTGAAATCAAGTGGAAATTACCAATGGCTGTGTGGAGGTTGCCACTGATGCCAGTAAGAAGTCCGGAGGCTGCAGGCAGGGCAGGCAATAAGCATCGGCTGCTTTTCCATAGTTAACTTCCAAATCACCACTCATTTCATCAAGTTCATCATTTTCCATAGCCTCCTGAGCAAAGAAATTAACTCAACTTTAACTTATGAGTGCTATCGGTTAAATAATACAGCTACTAAGAGACATGTTCGACCAACATATTGCTTCTTTAGCTTCTTAGACACAGTTCTCTGAGCACAAATGTAGCATTATGAAAAGCTTATGATATTTTTCCAGCAGCTTTTAAGGAGACTCAAAATACTCAATCAATTTGTCATACAGTTGAGTTGATACATAAACTTGTCTAAATTAGATTAGATCTAAAGAAGTTGAACTACATAGAGTTCTCCTTGAATCAAACCAAGTTGAATTTATGACTCTTTTATTATTCAAGTGTTAAAAGTAGGCAAATAGAGGGTTAAATGCCATTATTTTGCTATTCCTTCCTTAAATTTTTAATGAAAATATTGGAGATGCTCAACCTGAATATTACTTTGTTAGGTTGAGGTGGATTCATCATTTGAGTCATTTAAGTTGGATAATTTGCATCTCAAACAGTTAGGCTAGTTCCAATACATCTCTTTGCCTAACCAAACCTTACCATAGGCAACCTAGGCTTAGTTTCCCGTATAATATCTAGAACATTTTAGTCTTACTTTAACCTCTCAGACCACTGTATTTTTTGGGTGACAAAACTAAAAACTTCCATGCCAAAACTAAGAAAGCTAGTATAAAATTCAATATCACAGGCATGTGATTCAGGGTGGCGCCATTGAAAGTTCTATTCTACTTCAAATAAAAACTAAAAATACACAAGGTAGTAGTAGTTACCTGTATTGGGTAGCAGTGGAATGTAGGAAGAAATCGACTCTTACAGTGCTCATTAAAGTATAAAGTTATCAGAGGTAGTGGAATTGTGGAAATGGAAGCTGCTGGCTTGGACTTCACTCCGAAGAGACCAATCATAGTAACTTGCATTAGAATGATTGCTATTATTATATGACGATGAATTTGAGGCCAGTACAGCCCAAATGTGTCGTAAGTAGTTGCATAAACGTCTTTAATCTGCAAGAAGTAAGCTTAAAATAAGTTAGGTATATCATACCATTATGGAGATTTGTGATTCCTAACATGATATGAGAGTCATGCCCTTAACTTAGTCATGTTAATAGAATCCTCAAATGTTGAACAAAAAATTGCGAGCCTCGAAGGTGTAGTCAAAAGTGACTCAAGTGTCGAACAAAAGGTGTACTTTGTTCAAAGGCTCCATATGCCTCATGGGAGGCTCTATGGTATATTTTGTTCGAGGAGAGGATTGTTGAGAATTGTTGGTGGGGGTCCCACATCGGATAATTAAGGGGTTGATCATGGGTTTATAAGTAAGGAATATATCTCCATTGGTATGAGGCCTTTTCGAGAAACTTTGCAAAGCCATGAGAGCTTATACTCAAAGTGGACAATATCATACTATTGTGGAGATTCGTGGTTCCTAAAAAGGTAGAAGGTAGAAGCTAGAGTTCAAATAAAACAAAAACCATTTGGGAGTACTAGTTAGAGCATTAACCTGATTGACATATACAACATAGCCCAAGCAGAAGTAGCCAATGAGAAGAGGAAGCAGCAACGGTGCAACAACTGCATATACCATGCCAATCAGTAGGAAGAGAGAGATAAAAGGGATAGTTCTAGAGTGTGGAAGAGAGTATAAATATGCCTCTTTCTCCTTTCCATTGCAACATATACATGACTTCAGAAGATCCCAAGATAGTAAACCAGGTTGAAGAATCTCTAAAGAAAATCCAGATAAGCCACTCGTCAATATATAAGTCGCAAAGAAATCAGCCTGGAACACAAAGAAACCAACGTTCAACCAAAATTCATATCAATAAATTTCAAAAACGAAGGGCATCTAAATATTGAAAGCTCATAAATTTCAAGAATCAAGTACACTCGAAAAAATATGTAGTCATTTCTAGAAGAGTTTTGCCTATAACTAACAATATTATCAAAAGGGAAGCAAAGTAGCAGTTAGAAATTATGAACAAGATAAATGCATACTTGAGCAGATACAGCCCCTGCAAGATGACTGGGGAAGTTTTTAGGATGTGTAAGATATTCTTCAATTTCATCAAGTAAAGATCCTGATATCAAACTCAAAAAGAATACATTTCCCACCAGAAAATAAAAAATCATGTTACAAGCTTTTATCTCCGCTTTACTCCTTGAAACACAGCCTGCTAGCTTGGCCATCCCAAGCATTGCAAAAGGGACCACATAAATAAATCCATTTAGGATTGCACTGGGAAGATAACCTGTCACAATGGAGCTTAACCCTGGTCTGAAGAAACATTGATATGTTAGATCCCTCATGAACGAAATCTAATAAATAGGATAGCAGAAAGAGAATCCAGTGTAAAATGAATATATAGAAGAAGCAATATGTTGTTGAGCCAGAACGTTTCACTCAAATTTTCAGATAATTACACTAGCTTTAAAGTTTTCAAGAAGTGATGATCCATGTGGAAAGAAATCTGAATAACAGTAATCAATCAACAGAAGAAGTATGATTTTATATAGCTACAAGAATCAATTTTCACTGCTTATTTGTATGGTTGTAAGTGGAATGATATAACATACGCCTCTAGTCATCATAATACACAATAAAATGAAATCAAAGATTATATGAAAAAAAAAAAAACAAAACTATAGTACATGATATTTTTACTAAATGAAAAAGAAAAACTATGAAAATGGACAATAGGAGTCAGTTGAAAAGGAGAGCAACGTGAATATATGGGATTATATTCATAAGAC